TTTCCAAGATCTGGCTATTACAAATTGTGCTGCTATAAACATGGGTGCACATATATTATGGTGGTATGATGTTTTCAATTCTTCTGGGAATATGCCCAGAACTTCCTCCAATTTTTGAAAAATCTGTCTGCTTTAATTTGCTTCATTTTGATTGTCACTTCTTTTCATACCCTAGATATTATTTCTTCTTTTCTTTTTTATTTTATTTTAAGGAGAATAAAACCAAACAAAATAAAACCAAATAAGATCAATTAAAGCAAAATAATGAAAGCAACAAGACTTCAAAATAAGACAATGGCAAATCAACAATGGCTACCGTAGATATTATTTTTTCCATGCCTCTTTTTATGTTTTTTTTACTTCTGTTGGTGTCATGTCAGAGAGTTCCTGTAGCTGGCTTCTGATATCCCCTGTCTTTTTGTGCTCTGGACTTGTCCTGGGTGCATTTGCAATTGCATTTTGCTGCTTCTTCTTGTCATTTTCTGTTTTATTTTTTCCTGTCATGATGCTTGTAGACTTCGTTTGTTAGATAGCTTTTTCCTTGGTGTTGAGGATCTCCTGGGTAATGTCTGTTCCTCAAGGATGTCTTCTAGATATAGTGGTTCTTGGTCTTCCTATCTATCCCAAGAACCTGCCTTCCCAGTGTTTTAAGAATGTGGAGTTGCTATCTTTTTGACTCAAAGGCTATTCCTTTGGTACTGGATTGTGATGGTGGTTATGGCCCCTTGCAATCTCAGTGTTGTCATATAGGGGAGAAAAAATTGATTATAACATGTATGGAATCCTGGTTAAAGTAGTACAGTGAGCAATAACAATAGACACAAGCACAGTTTGGTTACTGACAAACTTTGGTAACTATTATTCTGATATCTTCAACTGTAGGAGCAAGTTCTATAGTTATATAATCGATCTTATCCTAGGAACTTGTATGCAACATTTCTTCACTTAGTGGAGTGGGGAAGTTTAAGAGGGATGGGGGCAGGCTGGAGAAGTGGATGGGGTTAAATGTAGGGAAACATATTTGGTGGGCAAAGTATGATCATCCAAGTTTTGGGTAATTGTAGGATAAAAGGAGGGAGGGTTTTGAAGAGAAAGCCTAGGAGTATTGAAGTGAATCAGAAAGGGAGAGACAGTGTTTACCCACATGAAAGTCTCATAAAATCAAGCAAAATAGTTGATTAAAGAGAGGAAGAGGATGGGTGGAATAATACAAAGGGAAAGTTTAGAGATCTAAGTTGTGAATAAGAGAAAAAAAGTAGAAAAGACAAGGAAAAGAAAAAAGAAAGGAGAGAAAAAGAAAAAACAGGAAATAAAAATAATCACACAAAGAAAAGAACAATAAACATACAGAAAGAAAAAGAAAAGAGGACAAACTAGAAAAAAGAGAAAACGAGAAAAGGGAAAAACACAAACAAAACACACCAAACACAAAGATAAAGTAAAAATAAGCAACAGAACCAAACACACTAACCCAGCAAACTACCAAGAAGAAACCCATCAGACAGGGAAAAATAAAAGTAATGAGATTCTTCTAATGTCTATACTCTGTAGCAGGACCAAGTCTGATCTAGAGTACACATAGAATGTGTACTCTAGTCAAGGTTGTAGGTGGATTTGTGCTGGGTTTGAAACTGATTTATGTTTCTGGATTTGGGGGATGGGATTAGTTTTCTGCGATTGGAGATCCCCCCAGCTATTTTGAAAAGAAAAAGGAGAAAAGAAGAAAAGGAAAAATAGAGAAAAGAAGTGTCACTACCTGCCCACTTTTAGTCTGCATGTCTTTGTCCCCAAGCAGAAACTGGTTCACCTAACTTACTGCCTGCTGGCTCATATTGCTGCTGTTGCTTGGGACTTTTCTGCACCACTGGTCCCACTTGTCCATCATGTGCACTCTAGCCAGGGTCCTATTGTATCCCTGGCTTTCCTGCTGTTCTCTGGTCCCGGAGTCCCGTCAATGGAGGGAGTATTTTTGATCTTCTTCCTGCAGATCCCTCCCTGCCATTGCAGCAGCTCCAGCTAAATCATTCTGCTCTCTTGTTGCCCTTGATTCTCCACATAGATCTGGGTAAAACAGTAGCCATGCCACCACCTTCACATTACACTGTCTTAAATTCCTTCTATTAGCTCAGTTAGTCTGATGCCCTTAGTCTCAATTCAAAGTCTCTGACCATGAGCAAAATTCAGACAATCTTTCTGCTAAATCAAAACACACATGACCTGGAATCTAACAGCCAATGCTATCTTTCTTCCCAGCAGAAAACTTCTGAGCCTGGGTTTTTACTGGCATTATTTCTATCAGCAATCTGGTTTTCTGAACTCTGATCAGAATCTTCCGTACAGCACAGCATAAGGTAATTCAGGGGTACTTCTTCAGCTGGCATCTCCAAACCTTTCCAAACTCTTCCCCCAAACCAACCCCAAAGGCTTGGAACCACGTGACCAGGAAGTATCACAGCAATCATCTCAATGCTGGTACCAAAAACTGCCTTGGTCAGTTTTCTCATTGCTGAGAAAATATAGCAACACAGAAAGCTAAAGAAGGAAAGGAAAAAAAAAAGAAGGAAAGATTTAAAGTTCGTAGAGGAGTCAACTGATAGTTGGCTGGTTCCAAGGGAGGGTGGCATAGCAGAGGAACATCACAAAGCAAACAGGAGTCAGCAAGGTACCAAAGATGCAAAACAGCAGCAGCTGCAGGCAGTGACAGCAACCCTCTTTCTGTCTCTTATAATCTATCCAGGATGGCCACGCTGAAAGTGGGTAACAGCCACACCTTTTTTTTTTTTTTTTATTTAAGAGGAAAAAGAGAAAAACAGAAAACAAACCAAAGCGGCGTAAGGGTACACACAATACAGAACTACAAAACAAAACAAAACAAAACGAAACAAAAAACCATAACAGTAAGAAATTACCTGCTAGTAGATTACACACTATTTTCTTGAAAATAGTTCCTCAAATCACAGTATCAAAGAACACAAGGTGGACATTCAAACAGGGAGACTGCAAACAGCTGTGTTCAATGTTCCAAAAACATTGATAAAGTCAGCTATTTAACACCCCCAAACACACTTGCTGTTATATCCGTTAGAGCTCTTTTTCTTTTTTTTTTTCCCTCTCTTTTTTACAACAAAATTTACACATCTTGGATTTTATTACTCCTTAGTGCTTATTACTTTCTTTGGGGGGGGGGGAAGAATACAGCCAAATATGGCAAAACAAAGCTGTCAGTCAATACCAAGGATAGACATAGCACATGGTGTAGAACAGAGTACAAGTTTATCAACAATGGTTATCAATGTTGTCCCTTGTTTCCTTAAAAAGAATTGTCTATCTTATTAGATATTATAAAGTTGGACAAAACAGTAGAGAACAAGACCAATAAAACTTAGGCATTGTAAACATTACAGGACTTCCAAAGAAGACAATAGTCAAACCAGAATGGGTATCTTAGTGAATCTTATTGTCTTCAAAGTAGTTGCCTATGTCTTCAAACTTGATACTATCATATAGAATGGAACAGAGTCTAATCAGTCAAAACAAGATTGTGGGAGTACTACAGGACTTCAAAACAAGTTAATAGGAAATCGAAAAGAGTTACTATTTATATATCCTAATTTTTTTGAATTTTTTCTTTAATTAAGACAAACATAAGAAATGACTAAATAATTTTTTTTTGAAACAATAAGGGGGAGATTGAGATAAAACAGGGCATAACAATATAACAATAGAGGTCACAGCATGACTGTTTCAATAACCTAGTACTTCACCACTATATAACCTGACTTAATAGTAGTTACCATAGTGTCTTTTTCCTTGAAATATTTGGGTAAAACTTCATATACTCTAGCTTCAAATATTTTCATATCAAGAAGCCCAGAATAAAGCCTTTCTAATTAATGAGTGAAAACTTTATAAGGCTTCAAGGCCACCTAATGGGGAATCATGATTAGCACATATTTTTATATATTTGAATCATTACTTACATTAGGGAAACTATTCGGTATTCACACATGCGAGATTGATTTATTTCACTTATGAGTATGGTCTCAAGCTGCGCCCATTTATTGATAAATATCTCAATGTGATCCTTCTTTATAGCTGAATAATACTCCATTGTATAGAAATACCACAACTTTTTTATCCATTCCTCAGTTGATGGGCACTTGGGTTGTTTCCAAGATCTGGCGATTACAAATTGTGCTGCTATAAACATAGGTGCACATATATCACTGTGGTATGATGCTTTCAGTTCTTCTGGGAATATGCCTAGTAGTAACAGCCACACCTTTAATCCTGCCCTTGAACCATGACTAAATCACACCATTGCACACCCTGGGTCCAGCCACATACAAAGGACCACACCTGTGACCCCATGAAACTTCGGGTTACATCTAGATACCCCACCTCAAACCCTCAATGAATGCAGACCTGATAACATTTTACAAATGTTCCTGAATGCCTGGAAGTTTCTGTGGAATATGCACTATGCTTTTTTTTATAAAGATCACTCTTTAGTATGCAGCAAAATATTAATTATTGTAGAATTTATCATGAAGATTTTGCCCCTCCCATTGCATGTGTAGGATATCACTCATGGGGAAGTACCCCAGTTTTATGTGAGATGTAAATGTACGTATCAATCATATTTCCATGCTTTCTCTCCAGGATGGGCACCTGATGCTCTGTGAGAGCAGAAGATGGGATTTGCAAAACTGTTTACATTTTTTATTAGGATGTACTAATACAAGGATGTACTTTCTGATGTGTACTGAGGTTTGAGTGTATACTAAAAGATCTGCCCCTATCATTTAATTTGTGAAGTTCCTTTCCAGTTTGAATTTTTTGGTGACTAATGATCTCTTATTTTCACCTTAACATATTGTACACATAACATATTGGTAAGGTTTCTCTCCCCTATGGGTTAGCTTATGGGTAGTAAGCCTTAAATGACAAGGGAGGGCTTGCCTCATGATTACACACAGAACTATCTTTCCAGGAGTAATTGTCCAATGATTTGTAAGATTCCAACACTGGATGTTGGATCGGTTTGAACGCAAGCGCAGGCGTCGAGTTCGGCTGTGACGGCAGCGGCGGCGGAGCTGCGGGCCGGCGGAGGCGGGGCGTGAGCTCGGCGCGGATGCCTCGTCCGGTCGCCGGTACCGTGATACACCCAGGCTTCCGGCGGAAAGCTGTGGAAGCGATGGGTTTGCTTTTGGAGATACGAACGGCAGCTTTTGCAGAGGAAATGCTGTTTCATCAGGGAAATGCATAAACATTTTGAAGAAGCATGGCAAAATCAAAAAACAAAATACAGAGTTTGTTCTCAAGAGTCTTCAATATCTTCTCTCCTGGCAAGCTGCAGCCTAAGTAGTAGCAATTCCTCTAACTCTGTTGGCTCTTTTCACTATAAGGATAAACTGTACAGTTCTGCTTCTCAGGCTCTACAGGCCTATATTGATGATTTTGATCTAAGCCAGGTGTATCCTAGTGCAAGCACTGGAAAAATTAGCATTGATAAAGGTGCTGCTAATATTCCACACTTCTCCAGTTATATTTCTAAACCAAGCAATGCTTTTGATCACAAAGAGCACTCACACTTCGTGTCCTATAAAAGAGAGCCTATTAATGACGTAGACTCTGTTAGCCTAACAACTGATGATCTGTTAAGACTTCCAGCAGATGGATCATTTTCTTTCACTTGTGTTGGACCAGGTCACCGAACAAGAAAGAAAAACAAGAAATCCATTAGAAGATCAGATTCATTGGACGTTGAAAAGAATCCAGATTTTCGAGAGACCTTCACCTCCATGGGCACAAATAATTTAGTTACTCCAGTTGAATACACAAATAGAAAACGATGTGGTAGGCTAAAAAACCCAAAACTTACAAATAAGACTAATAAATGTGTTTTTGACTCATCTTTATCTTTTTCTAAAGAATCTTTCAAGGACGGTTCAGAAGATGGTCTTGAAAAGAATTATCCAAGATGGCTCACTAGCCAGAAATCTGATCTTAATGTTTCAGGGATAACTAGTATTCCTGATTTTAAATATCCAGTCTGGCTCCACAATCAAGACTTGTTACCTGATACAAGAAGTAAAAAGGTTTCTAAAGAAAAGCATTGTTCCCCCAGACATAGTTATCTGGCTCAAAGAACTCGACATATGAATAAAGCAGATTGTTTGGAATGCCCTTTGGAACCCTCGAATTTTTCAAATTCCTTATGTGATGATGAAAGACTTGTTAATGACTACAAATATGACTCTGAACATAGTCAGTGTAAATGTCAAAATCCACTTCTTCCAGGACAATCCAAAAATCCATTCAGTGGTGACAAAATTGAATTGCTTATCCTGAAGGCCAAGAGAAATTTAGAACAGTGTCCTGAAGAATTACCAAGATCTGTGAAAAAGGATGATAGTCCATGCTCATTAGATAAACTTGAAGCAGAAAGATCATGGGAAAATATTCCTGTTACTTTCAAATCTCCTGTTCCTGTTAATTCTGATGATAATCCTCAACAGACTTCAAGGGTGAAGTGTACTAAAGAGGTTCTTGAAGACTTTTTGAATGATGAGAGCTCTACCCTTTCAGGAGGCAAACATCATGGTCCTGTTGAAGCCTTAAAACAAATGTTATTTAATCTTCAAGCTCTACAAGAAAGTTTTAATCAGAACAGAACTATAGAACCAAAAGAAGAGATTAAGCAAGTTTTAGAAGATGATTTCTCTAAATTGGAATTGAAGGCAAATATGATTCCTATTACTAGGTCCCTTCAAAAGGCCTTGCATCATTTATCTTGCCTGAGAGATCTGGTTGATGATACCAGTGGACAACAGTGACTGAAAATGTGAAAAATGTGAAGAGGAAAGTAAAACTGTCACCACAATAACAACAGAACAAACACGTATTGTTTTCTATTACTTAAACTGAACAAAGTAAATATAAGCCATATATTATTCTATGATCAGTTCTTTTTTTCTGAAAAACTAAACTTGACAATGACCATCAGTTTTGTGATCTAACCTCATTTTGTGCTGAAAAATGGAATGTATTCTGAAGTCTGTCTTAAAATGTTTAAGGATAAATCATTTCTGTTTTTAATGTTTACTTGATCTTAGCCTTCTGTAGTATCATTTTATCATTTGATTCTAGAATACTAAGTTTCCTAGTTTCTATCTCTAAAAAAAAAAAAAAAAAAAAGATTCCAACACTGACTGAGGAGTTCTGCCTCACTGATAAGCTTAATCTCCAGGATGGAATCTCTAAAGAATTCTAAGTTGGGAATTGTCACATATGACCCTGACATATTTTTTCCAGGATAGATTACATGTTTAGGCTTAAGGACACCCTAAAAGCTTTGCTAAAGTCATTGAACTTGTAAGGATTTAATCCCTGTGAGAGCTCAGCATACATTGTGTCAAATTTGAGTAAGAATCTTCACACTTTCATTACATTTCATAGGTGTCCTTGAGTCTGATTTCTCAAGGGATGTGCTAGGGAAGAGATTAGACTGAACACTTTGTCATATTACATTTTGTGCAGTGTTTCTGAAGTATAAATCTTCTGATGATGTGCTAGAGGTGAGTTTAGACTGAACGCTTTGCCATATCCACTGCATTTGAAAGGTTTCTCTCCTGTGTGAATTATTTGATGTTCTGCACAGTATGAAATACAAGTGAATAGTTTAGTACACTTATTCCATATGTAATGTTTCTATGCATTATGGGCTCTCTGATGATTTTCTAGATATGAATTGTGAATGAGAACCATTCAATACATTTATAAGAATTTTCTCCAGCATGAATTATCTAATCTTGGGGAAGGTGGGAATTGTGATTGAAGACCATGCCTACCTATGCACATGAAAAAAACCATTTTTTTTAATCAACTCATTGGTTGATGGGCATTTGGGTTCTTTTCAAGATTGAGTTGTTACAATCTGTGCTGCTATACATGCAAGTATGCATATATTGCTGTGGTATGATAATTTTAATTCTTTTGGGAAGATACAATGAATGGGAATTGCTGGGTGAAATGAGATCTCTAGTCATGGGTTTCTGAGGAATCTCCACACTGATTTCCACAGTGGTTGCACCAGTCTACACTCCATTCAATTGAGGAGAAGGGTTTCTTTTTCCCCAAGCCACACCAGCATTTGTTGCTAGTTGGTTTCTTGATGATAGCTATTCTTGCTGGAATGAGGTGAAATCACAGTGTTTTAAATTACATCTTTTGGATGATCAATGATGTTGAATATCTTTCATATATTTATTTGCTGTTTGTACTTCTTCATCTGAGATGTGTCTATTCCTTTCAGATGATCATTTTTGGGCTGAGTATTAATCTTGGGCAGTCTGATTTTTTCAATTCCTATATGTTCTAGATGTTAGTTCTTTGAGGAACAGCTAGTAAGATTCCCCCCCTCTCCATCTGTGCATTGTCTTTTCACTCTGTTGATGATTTCTTTCTTCAGAGCTGAACAACAGGACATGATTTGGAGAACTGTCAAATCATGACCAGTCAAGGTTGGACCACTGACTGGACCACCTGTCACTCATAGGCAACTGTCATATCATGGTGAAGACACACATGGAGCACAGCTTCCAAGCCCTGTGTGGGACAGCACAGATTTTATGTCAAAAAAGACATCAAAGATGGCCGCCATTGACTTGGCTGCCACTGAACTCTTGTTCTTGCAGTGACCTGTGGGTGTGCAGAATGTATCTGCTCTTTTCTATTCCTTTTTCTTGTCCTCTCATTTTCTTCAATAAATGTTAAACTGCCACATTCATCAGTTGCTGCTTCCCTGTTCTTTCAATAGGACAAGAGCTTGGAACCTTTGGACACCACACCAATCAACAGCATCCTGGCCTCCGTGGTCACCCTTGGTCTTTTCATCAGCAAGGCCATCCAGGATGTGGAGCAAAAGACAGGAGCACCCCTCCCTGGGGACAAGAAGCACAGACATAGAGGTGTGCAGCAGGAGTTTATTTAGCATAGGAGGTGGCTCTATTAGCAGCATGTCTTTTGCAGCTCCTGGGTAGGCAGTGTTGCACTGTAAGGAGAATCTCACAGGTCTCTCATTGTTGTATGGCCCATACAGCAGCCAGATGGCACCTGGACAGCAATGACAGGAAGAACAGGGGACAGAAAGCAGGTACTTGAGAGGGGACAATGCACAAAGATGGCTAGGTTTCAGTATAGGAGCAGAAAAGCAAACCCAGGCCCAAGACCCCCAGGCCTCCCTTCCCTGGGCTCCCTTCAGCCCCCCATTCAACCATACTTACAGCCTGTTCAGTCACTGATGCATTTCTCTGTGGGGAAAAAGAACGTCAGTCCAGGTGTGTGTGTGTGTGTGTGTGTGTGTGTGTGTGTGTGTGTGTGTGCGCGTACGTGCATGTGTTGTATCTCTGGTTGCCAGGACTCCTGCACTGCCCACGTGTGCCTGAAACCCAGCCCAGTCCAGCTGCAGAGCATCTGGGAGTTACCTGAATTCAGGACGCCCAGGGATTGGCTTCTCTGGGTGTTTGGGCCTCAAAGTTGCTCAAGTATGAAGGGCTCTGGCCTGTTGATCTGCTGAGTCCTGGACAACTCTCAACCAGTGGCCTGGGTGGCCTGGCTGGAGCCCCCTCCCTTGGCCTGACCACTTGTATGTAAGGACATCACTCACATCAGAAATGGATGGGTCCCAGGGAACAGGAGAGAAGGCTCAGGAAGCCAGAACCAAAGAATAGAGTGGAGATGACCAAGGGCATTGAGACAGGGGAGCCTTGGACCCGGGTCTGAGATTGTCATCTGTGCTGGTCTTGGCTAACCTGGCAGGAAAGCATCTGGGAACAGGGACCTTAAGGGTCCACAGACCCCACCAAGTTAGCCCACACCTCTCTCATGACTGGAGCAGAAGACTGAGTGTCTCTTGTCCAGTTTCCTGGTGGGCAGCATCAGGCCTGGATAGACCCTGCCTCTCTATCCTCCTCCCCAGTGTCCATTACCTGTAGGGCTGTGGAAGATGATGTTGTCTTCTGTGAAGCCAAGGAACTTGGCAAAGTGGACAAAGCGCTCCTTCAGTCTGGGACTCAGCTCCTTGGTCCTCCCTGTAGCCAAGATGGCCAGTGAGTGGCCAAGAGAAAGGCACTCCACAGATTTAAGTGTTTTCAGGCAGGGTCTTGCTATGTAGGTCAGTCTGGCCTTAAACTCACATTCATCCTGTCTCAGTTTTCCAGTACTGTGGGAGACAACTCTAGTGTTTCCTCTCGAATGTAAAACAATTATTGTGACTTTGATTATTTTTTAGACCTATTTTTTTATACTGATATATAGAGAACTGGATATAGTATTTTATTTTCTCTTTTATTGGCTCTAAGAATTATAAATAAGGCTATCTGAAGTGCTGTATGTAATCTCTAAAGCCAGCAGACAGTCCTGGTTCCTTGCATAGTGTTCTCCATATAGAATCTGTACAGGATTTGAGCACAGTGGTATGTTAGAGCCATTAGCTCCAAAAATGTCAACTGGGCAGGAGCCTCAAGGTAAAGAGGCTGTAATTCCCCAGGGCACAAGAGTGTACATATCAAAAACTAAAGTGACAGCCTCCCCAAACAATTTTGTGGCTACCTTAATCAGATTATATAAATTGATCCTTTTGTGTATCTCTTTCTCTCACCTGGGTAGCCAGCTAAAGTTACTCACATAATTCCTTCCATCCTCACTGTCACTCATCCCTGAGCCACCCCCTTTTTCACAAGATAATAAATTCTGGGAGATGCTTAAGATCAAGGCCTTTGAGGCTGGAGATTTAGCTCAGTGGCATGTATCTGCCTTGCAAGCACATGTTCTTGAGTTTGACCCCTGGTATTCCCCCCCCCCCCCCCAAAAAAAGATCAAGGCCTTTGTCCTCATGGGGATTGGACTTAGGACCCCTTGGCTGTTCTTAACTTGGATCATGTCTTGGTGTCTTTACTCTTGTCATGGATTACATTGGTGGTAATAGATTAAAATTAACTTGCTTGGGATTCCAATAACGTTGCAATGGAATTACAAATATAACTTCTTGATTGTGAAAAAAACTAAAAAGAGGATTACAATACTTGGGTGACTAAACTCAGTATTTGAGATTGCAATACAGTACTGGAGTGACATGGGCCAGCGCACCTGGCTCAAAACAAAAGTACATTTGAATGAGTAAAGGCATTGGACCTCTCCCCCATAGGATATGGAATGTGAAATAACTTCCTCCCCAACTTGGGCTGAAAGTGGAGCAGTCTTTGGGGTCTTTAGGAACAGGGGAACCATCCCCCAAGTGTAACCAGGGGTGGGGGCAGGACCCACCGTAGAGGCTGAGGTAGAGGTACACCCTGTCTTGGAATTCTTGCGTGAAAGACACCAAAGCAAACTGATCGTAGTTGGTATCTACCACTCTCATTGTGTATCTCTGTACTCCACGGTGACCTGCAGTGTGGACAGCCAGAGGTCATTCCTATCCTGGCTGGGAGACAGGAACTGATCCCTCCCCCAGGACTGGTCAGCAAGGTCTTCTTCCAATAGGACAGTATCTGTGTGGTGGGCCAGGAAGCCTGTGCCCTTGTGGGAGGATTCTACCCCCACAATCCCAACACCAGATCCCATTATTCAGGACTCACCACTGATGGTGTTCTGGACGAAATTGCCAGGAAGGTCAGCTGGAAAAAAGACTCTGGTCCAGTGATCACAGCTCCTGCCCCTATGACAGGAGAGAGAACAGGGGCTGAGCAGATCAGTGACACAAATTTGGTCACACTGAGAGTCACTGTAAAGAACCAGAGCACAGCAGGATACTGAGGTCCCAATCTAGCCCAGCCTGTGACAGCTTGGCCCTCTCTATGGCAGAAGCCCCTCCATGGCCCTAAGTCTTCTACTCTGTGCTTTTGCCTGGGCTTCTGCACTCAACCATCCCTCCCCCACGCACTGTCCCCGCTGCTGCCTCCCTGAGGCAGCCTGTCCCACATCCTTGCTATTATATTGCTGGTCCTCCTTTCTGTCTTACATTCCCATTTCCTCTGAACTTCCAGTCTGCTCCATTCCAGGCTCCGCCCTAACACTTGGGTCACACCTGACCTCTTTCCTGAGTCTACCCCATCCCTGCACCCCAGCCACAAGCCAATCAAACCTGCCTGCTTGTTTCCCTCCATTATGAAATGCTCCAATGCAAACGCACTAAATGACCAGACCCAGACAATGCAGGTGGATGACCTGGGCTCCGCCCCTCCAAGTCCTCAACTGGACTACCTCTGCATTACCTTCTCCTACCTGGCATTACCTTCACAATTGCCTGCTCATCCCGAGAGGAGGTAGTGAATTCACCTGATCATGGTAGTGATGACAACGTAGCTGTGGCCATCTGACAGCAGGAAGGTGACGCGCTGCATGTTTAACCCCTTCTGCTTTCTACTGCGAATTCTGCTGTCTGCCATCGCTATTGTGTACCACCTACCCTGGAACTGTAAGGGACTGGTTACAAAGCCTGGGGATGGTCCTAGAGCCACCCCTCCATGCTATCCCTGCGGAGACTTCTGGGCAGCTCTCCAGACCACAGAAACTAGGCATAGGGTTCTCCTGAGAAACCCAGAGAGACCCTGGGTGTGACATCAGCCCCATGTTGTCTGAAATTGGGTGGCCCTGGGCAGGCAGCTGGTGTGTTTTGGAACCTCACTTTTCTTGTCTGTGTGGAGGGCCTGAAAAAGTTTCCACCTGACATGATTAGGGGCCTGGACTCCCCAGTCCTAGTATTCTCATATGACTAAGCCCCTAGGTCCCCCTGACTCTCCTCCCCTTTGATATCATTGTCCCAGTACCCCAAACCCCCACTGCAGCTGCCCTTCCACAGCCTTTACCTTGTCATCCTGGAACTTTGGTTGCAGGGGAACCAGGTTGATCAGAGGAAAGGTTGGTAGCACAGTCATATTGAAAACCTGCTCCTGAGGCTTCACGGCCCCGAGCAGGGTGAGGTTGAGAAACAAGAGATCCAAAGTCATGGCTTCTGAGCAGCTCTCAGCAGCCAGGCGTTGCAGGAGGACAGCAAAGATTGAGATAGGACTGAAGAGGAAGTAGTTATAGGCCTCCTGACTGCAGCCAACCTTCAGAAACACATGACCAGATATCAGTTCTTTCCCCTCTGGTCACAATTGTGCAAGATAGAGAGAAAGGAAGAGGGCAGACGACATGGGGGACATTCTTAGAGCTCCACAATCTTGAGGGCACGAGGGCTCCTGGTGGGTGTTCACTGAGCCACATCTATGCACCCAATTGGCTCTGTCTGCCAGAAGCTCAGGTCCTGACAAGCTGTCATCTTTGAGCATGTTCCCAGTGTGTGTTGTGTGGCAAAGCCCTTTCCCTGTACCTGCAGAAAACAAGGCATGTGCTGGGTATGGTGGAACATGGTAGCGCATGCCTGCAACCCCAGCAATCAGGAGCCTGAGTCAGGAAGACTGCCAAAGCTGGAGGCCAGCCTGGGCTACACAGTGAGTTCAAGGGCAACCTGAAGTCTTACGAAGACCTTGTCTCAGGAGAAAAAAAAAAAAAAAAAAAAAAAAAAAAAAAAAGAAGGAAAGAATACTCCATCTCCACATGCTCTGTGTATCTCCTGATTCTTGTAAAGGTCAGGCAATGCTGGTGTGGCTGATGTGGACTTTCTGAACAGACAAGTACAAGACACTGCCCTAGCCTGCTGGGCCGAAACCTTGGTCCTCATGGGATCCCAAGCCCAAGCCCTGGAGCTGGATGGCATGCTTTGAGTCCCTCTCCCTCCTCATCTCCAACTTGTTTTCAGAGTAGGCAGTGATTCAGAGCTAGGCACAGGAGACACTGATGTGGCAGCTTGACCAAGTTTGGTGATGAGGCTGCAATGACAGCTCACGGCAGAGCTCTGTAAAGAGGTTCAGGGGCACAGGTGGACTGATGGGTAAGGTGGGCTGCACTCTGATGTGCACATTAGGTGCTTTAGGTCATGGGTTCCAGGGTTTGGCCTTGTCCTTGAGAAGTCATTTAGATCAGCCCTTTGTCTCTAACCACACCCTTGGGCCGCAGGTCCAGAGGCTCAAGCCTGGGGTCTCAGGCTTGTCCCTGAAATGGCTCATCCCACACTTGTCCCAGAGGGAAAGGCTGTTTGCTCATTTGGGGCCTGGCCAGAATCCTGGGGAGGCAATGTTAACCTTAGGCCCTATGCAGTATTCCCCTGAGATGGCTCACATATGAGGGTGATGACTGTCCTGGACACCTGACCTGAGGCTGGACTGGGGATTTTCTGGCTTTATATGGGACTACAAGGGTCCTCATTGACTCTACTCACCCACTGCTAAGGCTGCAGCCTGGCTTGGGGGTGGTGCCCACTGAAAGCAGGGGCTTTACACAGGGTACAGAGCTGGTGGAAAGACTGCAGTCTCAGCCCTCCAGACACATACCAGATAGCCCTCTACTGCACCCCACCACCTGGGATGGATGATGAAAAGGCAGGAAGTGAAGCTGAGCAAAGCTGTGGCCACCAGAGCCAGCCACCTTCCCAGTACCTCCTCTCTCCTCCCAGACCTAGAGACTCCACCTCTGCTGCACTCTGTGAGCTGGAAAAATATCCTCAGCCAGACAAGGTGCTGAACAGTGGTAATCCCTGTACTCTGGAAGGCTGCAGCAGGAGTCCAGCCAGCCAAGCAGGGTAAAGTGGACAGGGAGGTGGAATGTATCCAGGCCTGATACTGCCCACCAGAAAATCAGGCAGGAGACACTCAGTCTTTGTTTCCTGTCACTACAGCGGTTGAGCCTACTGCCATGGGGTCTGTGAGTTCCCATGGGCCTGTCTTTAAGTGCTCTCCCTTCCGTTTTACCCGAGACCAGTCCAAATGACCATGTCAGTCCTAGTTTTAAGTTTCTCTAGTCTCACTTCCCTGGGCCACCTCCTCGTTGCGCCTTGCTATCTTGGGCCATCTCCTCCATCTGCTGGGGCATGCCCTTTCCTGATATAGCTGATGTCTCTACACTAAACTGACCTGGCCCTAGCAGGGGACGCCAACCAGGTCACAAGAGGCCAGCAGTGAGGGGTTTCCAGGTCTCAAAAGGAGGCCTTATTGCCTGAGTAATTTCGAGCACTAGACCCATGGGGGAGCCAAACCTGAGGCCCTGATTCAGGCAACTCCAGATGCTGGAGCTGGATCAGGCTGGGTTTGAGCAGACATGGGCAGTGCAGGGTGCTGGCAGCCAGAAATATCACACACACATGCACCCAGACAGACAGACAGACAGATAGACACACATGCACGCACACACACACACACACACACACACACACTCACATACCCTGCCAGCTCTCATGTTCTTCCTCCCCCACAGAGAAATATATCAGTAACTGAACAGGCAATGAGTGTGGCTGGGCAGGAGCTGAATGGAGGCCAGAGCATGGAGGCCTGCAGATCTCAGACCTTGGTTTCTTCTGCTCTAATCCGGAATCCCAGCCACCTTAGTGCATTGTCCCCTCTCAGGTGCCCCCTGTCTCTCCATCCTCTAGTCTCCCTGTCATTGCTGTCCAGTTGCCATCTGGCTGTTCTATGGGCTACAAATGAATGACAGAGCTGCGAGACCCTTCTTACAGTGCAGCACTGCCTACTCACAGACCGCCAAACCCACGGTGCTTACAGAGCCATTTTCACTAGATAAACTCCTGCTGCAGACCTGTATGTCTGTGCTCCTTGTCCCCAGGGAGGGGTGCTCCTGTCTTTTGCTCCACATCCTGGATGGCCTTGTTGATGACAGGACCAAGGGTGACCACGGAGGCCAGGATGCTGTTGATTGGTGTGGTGTCCAAAGGTTCCAAGCTCTTGTCCCATTGAAAGAACAGGGAAGCAGCAACTGATGAATGTGGCAGTTTAACATTTATTGAAGAAAATGAGAGGACAAGAAAAAGGAATAAAAAAGAGCAGATACATTCTGCACACCCACAGGTCACTGCAAGAACAAGAGTTCAGTGGCAGCCAAGTCAATGGTGGCCATCTTTGATGTCTTTTTTGACATAAAATCTGTGCTGTCCCACACAGGGCTTGGAAAAGCTGTGCTCCATGTGTGTCTTCACCGTGGTACGGCAGTTCTCCACGACTGACAGGTGGTCCAGTCAGTGGTCCAACCTTGACTGGTCATGATTTGACAGTTCTCCAAATCATGTCCTGTTGTTCAGCTCTGAAGAAGGAAATCATCAACAGAGTGAAAAGACAATGCATAAATGGGGGGAAAAATCTTATCTAGCTGTTTCTCAGACAAAGAACTAATATCTAGATCATATAAGGATTGAAAAAAATCAGGCTGCTCAAGTTTAAGACTCAACCCAAAAATTCTTATCTGGAAGGAATAGATACATCTCAGATGAAGAAGTACAAACAGCAAATAAATTTATAAAAAGTGTTCAGCATCACTGATCATCCAAGAGATGTAATTTAAAACACTGAGATTTCACCTCACTCCAGCAAGGATAGATATCATCAAGAAACCAACCAGCAACAAATGCTGGAGAGGCTGTGGGGAAAAAGGAACCCTTCTCCTCTATTGCGGGGAGTGTAGACTGGTGCAACTACTCTGGAAATCAGTGTGGAGATTTCTCAAAAACCTAGAGCTAGAGATTTCATTTCACCCAGTAATTCTTCTTCTTGATATCTTCCCGAAAGAATTAAAAGTATCATCCCATAGCAATATATGCACACCCAGGTTTAAAGCAACACAGACTGTAACAGCTCAATCTTGAAAAGAATCCAAGTGCCCATCAACCGATGAATGGATAAATAAAGATGAGGGTTTTTCATATGCATAGGTAGGCATACCTTCCCCAAGATCAAATAATTCATACTGGAGAAAATTCTTATAAATGTATTGAATGTGGCAAGGTCTCACTCACAATTCATAGCTAGAAAATCATCCGAGAGCCCATAATGCATAGAAACCTTACATATGGGATAAATGTGCTAAGCTATTCACTTGTGTTTCATACTGTGCAGAACATCAAATAATTCACACAGGAGAGAAACCTTTCAAATGCAGTGGATATGGCAAAGTGTTCAGTCTAAACTCACCTCTAGCACTTCATCTGAAGATTTATACTTCAGAGCCACTGCACAAAATGTGATATGACAAAGTGTTCAGTCTAATCTCATCCCTAGCACATCACTTGAGAAATCAGACTCAAGGACACCTATGAAATATAATGAAAGTGTGAAGATGTCTACTCAAATTTGACACAATGTATGCCAGAGCTCTCACAGGGTAGAATTCTTCTGAATTCAATGATTTTAGCAAAGCTTTTAGGGTGTCCTTAAGCCTAAGCATGTAATCTATCCTGGAAAAATATGTCAGGGTTATATGTGACAGTTCCCAACTTGAAATTCTTTAGAGACTCCATCCTGGAGATTAAGCTTATCAGTGAAGCAGAACTCCTCAGTCAGTGTTGGAATCTTACAAATCATTGGGCAATTACTCCTGGAAAGACAGTTTTATGTGTAATCATGAGGCAAGTCCACACTTGTCATTTAAGGCTTACTACCCATAAGCTAACCCATAGTGGAAAGAAACCTTTTTAAATTTTTTTTATTTTAAAGAGATTAAGACAAAACAGGATGTAACAAAGCAGATCAGAACAATGTAAGCAACACAGTATTTCACCAGAAGACAACCCATAATTAACAGTAACTACCACAATGTCTCTTTCTTTGAAATAGTTGAGTATAACTTCATATACAATAGTATCAAATATAACAAGATAATATAAAAACATTCAAGAGAATGAGAGTATTACAGGGCATTCAGAAGCAAATGACAGAAAACTAACAGTGGCTACTATGTTATCTCATTTTCCATAGAAAATTTGTTTATACTTTCACAAGTAGTACAATTCCATAAGGTACGCATGATAGAGCCAATGGAAACAGAAGAACAAAATCATGATAGGACTTCAGAGTAAGATGATATTATATCAGTACTGGCTATTATAATGGCTTGTTTCCCTCAAATTTGCAGTGCATATCATCACAGATAATAAAGTA